AACCGGGTCGAGACCCGGGTTGCCGGGTGGAAGGGACGGACCGGACGGTCCGGGTCCCCCCTGTGCTGGGCTGGTCCAGGCCGCTCGGCCTGGGCCCAGCCCAATTACTTGGGCGGCCCGCAGGCCAAAGAGAAAAAAAAAAAAAAAAAAAAATAGAGTTTTGGGCTTGGGCTGCGCCCAAGCTGCAAGCCACTGGGCAAGTGGCTCGAGCCGAGCCAAGCCGCTAGTCCAGCCGCGAGCCGCGGCTCGAGCCAAGCCGGCTCATCAAAAAAAAAAAAAAAAAGAGGGAAAGGGGTTTGACCGAACCGGCCGGGACTTTGACCGGCCGGTTCAGTGGCCTTTTTGACTCGGATTTGGGAGGTTGGACCGGTTTTGGGTTCGGGGGGATGAGGGCTATCAGACCAAGTGGGTTCGGGAAATTTTGGGTGCCCGGTTCGAGGTGAACCGGTCTCGGTTTACGTGCCGATGCTTAGGATTAGGGTTTTTGGCCCGGTTCGGAGTTGGTTTGAGCCATTTTTGGCCAGTTCATAGTGGTTCCTAAGGTTTTTGGGCCTTCTGAATCCGATTTTGAGGGTTTCGTGGCCATTTGAGTTGAGTCGGAGGTAGTTTTAGATCGGGCTAAACCGGTTCGTGGGTTTTGGAGACCGGTTCGTTGCGGTTCGAGTTTTGTGGAGGTTGGTTCCGTAGTGTTGAGAGCGGTTAAGTAGATATGTTCAGTGTTACTGAGTCGTGTAGGTTCTGGTGACAGGTCGGGTTGCCTCGAGATGCGTGCCCGGGGGCCGGTTTGGGATTTTAGTTCAGTTTGAGGCTACCGAGCCTGTTTCTTGTGCCGGTTTTGGCGTTGGTGATGGTTTTGTGTGATTTTCGATTGCAGATTCGCAGGCAGGGGCACACCCGGACTACTGAGTCGGGCTAGGTGACTCGGGATTCTCGTTTTGGCTTAGTGTCTGTGCTGTGAGTGATGATATCTTCTCTATGCTTGTGTTTTCATACTGTGATTTCTGATATGATGATTTTGTGGGTTGAAAATTGTGTTTTGATTATATGTTACTTGGGTTATGTGCTACGTGTTTTGTGAACAGTTGGGGAGTCGTGTCGGTATGTGATTTTGGTGTTTGAGACATGGACTGTATATGGGCTGTATATCTGTTTGACTTGGATGTGAGGGTGGTGTGCTGTGATGGGATTTGTGGACGGCAGGAACTCGGCTAGAGTGCGGTGATCCGTAGCGTCCAGTAGGTGAGTCGGTCTGAGTCCGTGAGGGGACGGCAGAGACTCGGCTGGAGTGCGGTGACCGTAGCGTCTAGTGTGGGGTAGGCCTGAGTCCAGTGATGTGATTTGATGTTGGCTGATAGTATTCTTGAGTATATGTTGTTATATTTTACTGATCGCTATATGCTTAAGGTTTTAGACTTGTGCTATGATATGTATCCTGACATGCATAGATTAGGTATCATCCGTACTCACTGAGTTTCGCGACTCATAGTTTTAAACATTCCAGATTCTTTTGACTATGCTCACCTCGGTTAGCGTGCCAGCGTGGGAGTTGACGACAGCGGACTTGATGGATGTACGGGCATTTCTCTTTTGTACTTTACCTGATTGTATTCTAGAGTAGCTTCCTTGTACTCTCAGACAGGATCCCGGGCGATTTTTGGGTGTTATGTTATTACACTTTGTGTATGTTTTATATATTTTGAATTCGACTAGTTTGTTGAGGCTTACTGGGGTCGGTGGATCCCAGTGCCGGTCACGGGCCGGGGTTCGGGCGTGACAAAAGGATCAAATTCATCTAGTTAATTGGCCTAGGTAAGAGTTTCTAAGTAAGAAATAATTGATGCTGTCTCCTTTTTAGATGTGTCTTGGAACCATCCATCCACTCTCATTCTAAAATTTGATTCTTTATTGGTAGAATATACGGGGAAGATAAGGCTGATGAAGCCAAATAATAATAATAATAATAATAATAATAACGGGGAAAAAAAAAAGATCAAGAGGCAAATGACCCTGCCCTTTTGGCCACAGCCACTTCCTATGAGGTCATTCTCTCGTATAATATCCGAGCATTGAGTTCCATAATCTAATTAGAGATTTTGTTTCCTTTTTAGATTGGTAGTTAGAGAGGAAAATAATAAACAAATAAAATTGGAACACGGGCATTTACCCATTTACCCTTATCAGTAGCATATGAAAAGCAATTAAATAGAGTACAATTATACACACACATACATACATATATATTTATATACATACACATATATAACACTAAAATGTATCATGCTGTAAAATATAAAAACAATCTTATCTTAAAATTTATTTTGAGTTATTAAATAAATAATATAGAAATATTATGTAAAACTACCAAAAAAAAAAAAAAAACCTAGGTACAAAGTTAAAAGTAAAAGTGGATACTGAAAATTTATTTTTGGTTGGTCCAGCTCTTACCCACGCCCAGTCCTGTGAGTTAACATACTTCGACTCTGAGATTGGTACTCGCAATTGAGTGGGCTTACTCGAAGTCCAATTGTTTGGCCATTAGTATGTGAACCGAATATAATTAAATATGATTAGGGTTGATTATGAACCCTAATTAGAGTCCGATGAATTTGTAAATTGAGTTTCAGTTTAATAAGACACAACTCTAATAAACCTGGAAGAGTAATAACGTATAGTGAAAATGATAGATGACTAAAAAGCTTGCAGTCATTTGAACTTGAGTTTTATCCTGCATTTGATTGCTAATTTGCTAGCCTTCTTTGGGGAGAGAAAATGTCTTGGCAAATGAAAGGATTAACCCTAAATGGGAGTTCTTCCAATGCGGACGCTGTAATGAAAGGGTATTTTGTTTGTGTGAGTTAACTTGAATTAAATCTGAAGCTCCTAAAACTATATTAATCTCGTTTGGGTTGTGTAAAAGCAAAAATGTGTAAACTAATCTTGCGCCTATGGTTATCAAGTCTGATGGTACTTAAGCTTGGGCCAACTTAAGTGTCTATTACATGCGAATTTTTTTTAGATATTTTTCACATGTAATTCTTGTGAATTTTCTTATAGATCATTTAAAATCTAGTGTTTGAGAATCATTTTTTGCGAATAAAAAATTTTAACAAAAAATCTGTAAGAAATTTGCTATGAGAAATATATTTCGAGAAATTTTAATAGAAAATCATTTGGTGGAAAATTTTTTAATTTTTATGTTCAGATAAGACCTGCGATTTTGATAGAGGTTTTGTATCCTATGAAATGAAAGTACTGAAGAAGGCAACAAGCAGTGAAGTTAGAGTTTAACATTGTTATGTTTTAATACTTTACATTCTTATTTCATTTTTTATATTCCAAAATAATTATCAAATTGTATTATTAAAGATTTTAACATTTCAAACTAATTGTACTATGATGTTTAATTACTTTTCATGTATGCTACTGGTGAATTACAATTGAAATGATACAAATGTATTACAAGAATTATTATAATGCATTATGAGAATTGAAATGATATATATGTATTACAGCAATTACAGCATCAGTGACTCCTAAAATGGGTCACAAGAAATTTATAAAATTAGTGACCTAATTGTGACCCTGCACGCAATTATGATAATAAGATTAATAGGGTCACTAAATGTGACAGAAAAATTACGATCACTGATTACTTCCCGCATTCCCAGTCACTAAATGCGTATCTAATTTTGTTTATAAAAATTGTCGCTAAATAATCAATGACCGCTACAATCGGTCACAAATTAGTGACCGCCACAATCGGTCACTAATTAGTGATCGCATGTTTTTCGATCACTGATTAATGATAAAAAAAATTACGGCACTATTTAGTGACTGAAGTTATGGTGATCACTAATTAGTGACCAAATTAGTGATCGATTATTACGGTCACTGATTAGTGACCGATTATATTCGGTCACTAATTAGTGATCACCTTAGTTACAAAACCGATTAGTGACGAAATTTTTTCTGACCGACCGTAGTGGTGATTGATTTATTCAGTGACCGTTGACCTTTAAAATTAGTGATTAATCATGCGGTCACTAAATACCATTTTTCTGGTAGTTTGTAGGGTTGCAAGGGCTGCCCACAGAGTCCTTGGTTTCCTGTACATCATTAGTCCAACATGCATTGTTATATGTTGTTATTACGAGAAGTAATTAGTTAGGGTGAACTCTTACTCTCATCGTGTCCCGTTATTAAAGTAGACTTAGACGAAATAAATTTTATTATTTGATTTTATTTAACTTTTTTTTTTTTATTTTGAAATATGATTTTTTCTAAACACTAAAACCATCACTAATTATGAGATAGTGATTATATCAAAATTTGAATATCTCTTATTCCAAGTTGTAATGGAGTCATGTTATGTGTCCCAATACCATTAATATTTTTTTCAAAAAAATAAACATGTTAGGTGTCTTTTATACCATTTAATATAAAATCCCTGACACACTTTCTTACTTTAATACTCCATCTTCTTGTAAAAAAGAGATCGGTATCTTCTCACCAGAGTACCTATCTCCCCAAATGTACCTGGTGGGGAGGGTGAAAGTGGCCAACCTGACAAGGAGCGAGCCATTTATGATCTCCTTGGCTGGAGAGGATTGATTTTAATGGGTGGTTTGCTGAATCACCCTCTGCGTAACAGGGACGACGCCCTCTGCAATTTATTTGAATTATGTTTAAAAAGAGAGGGGGAAGAGAGATTTATCCTGTCATCTTCATGTACTAGAGGAGGGTATTTGACTGAGGAGAACACATTAAATACCGAAATAATTTTGCAGCATCTGTTGTAAATTCTACTAGATATTAAAATTAGTGAAGCTTTAACTTCCTTTATTGTAGGTCCAATGTCCAGATTGCTGTAAAACAAACATTTGATTTGTTAAAGTGCTTCCACTACGTGGGTAAAATAGAACAAGAAACTAATTTTTTCTTCTTTTATTTTTTTAATGAAAAAATGGAAGTGGAATACTTAATCAAGTAATTAAAAGCTACGAGGTCAGGAGATTACTTGGTGGAACCAAAATAATGGAATAGGTAGCTAGTTTCTCCACGCTGATTTTGGCCTGAATTTCACCCAATCCCAGAAGAGGCTCTGGGTAAAACCTCGAAGTGTGGAAATAAAAGCTTTATTTCACAAAAATGAAAATTTTAAGAATTGAATTTCCAGTATTGAAATAACTTAACAATTTTGTTTTATTTTAAAGGTTACTGGGACTTTCATAAAAATGTCTAACTAAAATAGTACAATTTATCTCCTATTAACTGGGAATTAGCCGTATCAGGAAAAATTCAAAATACCTTATTAGACCAGAGATATATATATATAAAGTCAAGACCAAATAAACTGAGCTTTCTTCCTAGACAATTTTTTTGCATTCAATTAATCAATAAAACAATTCAAACCTCTCAAACAGAATCGAAAGCCAACAACCAAACAGCATAACAAAAGACAGAATACTCACATATACAACAATAGTTTCATTAGAAATGGATTTATTTTAAGCTTTAGTTAATCTAGAACTTGGACTGAAGCTGATCAATAACATTCTTATCAACTTGGAATGCCTTCGCCAGAACATCAACGGCTATCTTTGGATTTGATCCGAAAACCGTCTTTGCCGCCGGCACGATCCCCGGATTTTGACTGCTCAAACCGAAATCGCCATTGCCTTTCCATTCCCTATATTATACTGGAAATGAACTAGACCCTTGGGGAAGACGAATACATCACCCTTTTGGAGGACCTTGGAGATAAGACGATTCTCGGGGTTAGAAGTGACAAATCCCACTAAGACTGAGCCTTCTATGAGAGTGAAGAGCTCGGTCGCCCTAGGGTGAATGTGGGGAGGGTTAAGTCCTCCGGGGCATAGTCCACCCGCGCCATTGCAAGGCCGAAAGTGTTGAGCCCAGGAAACTCGGCTGCCGTGATTAGGGTCACCTTGGATCCGAAAGGGTTCGAGGTGTTCCCCGGAATGTTAAGTCCACGGAATAAGAAGTCATCAGCTTGGACTAGCATGGGGTTCTTGCATGGTTGACCATTTACCATTACTGCGAAGAAGAAGAAACAGTTAGGAAAAAATTAGTTTCTGGTCATTGAAATTGTTGTAATAAAATTAACTGATCAGTTTTTTGTTTCTTATTTCTAATTTCCGACAAATCACATTTTGGACCTGTAGTTTCTTTTCAAATTCTATTTGGTTCCGTCATTAGAGTTTGGGAGTATAAAAACCGAGATACCACTTTTGAAACTACAGGAACGAAAATGAAATTTGCTTAGAAATTCAAGGACCAAAAGTGTAATTTATCGCTTCTCTTCATATTTCAGAGAGACGAACAGATTTACCTGGAGCATTAGGATCAGCAACGCAGAAATCCTGGAGCGGCGAAGGGTCGTGAGCTAAGACAAAGCAGCTAAAACTAAGAGCTATCAACTCGACAAGATAACGCGTTTTGCCATTTCAACAAACTTAACAAGTCAAACGGTGAAGGCAACAACTAAAAGGACTTTTGGGTGATCGAACAAGCAGCCTGCGAGGCTCCTATATATAAGGAGGGAATTCGTCGGAGATCCCTTGAATCTTGGGTAAGAAGACTTATTCTATTTCATTGTTATATATATTTATCTTTTGGGTCGTTAAGACCGATTCGGTTTTTGTATTAATAATGATTTCTTTCTGAACCGTTGCTTTTTCAAACTATGGTTATTTTACCACGTTCAAACAAATTAAACAGATTATAGCAACTATTTTGTGCTTATCTTGATCAGCATGAGCCGGCTGGATTAGATGTTGGGTCGTCTTAAGCCATTAGCAGAACATCAAATAATAATGGCAAAGACCGAGTCAAGCTTCAACGACTCAGTGACCGTGTCAAACTGATACTTGTGTTTGTCTCTTGTAAGAAGAGTCCTGCCATTTACCAGTTCAGAAGAATGAGGATGTTATTAGATTGGTTTTAAGTTGCCAAGTATCTGGCTCCACCTAAGGATCCTTCGTTAGGGTGTGTAAAGTTAAAAAGTAAAGGGCAAATAGCCAAATTCTGATTTGTTTTTTAAAAACAATTCTTTTGGTTTTGAATACAGAAAAACCTGTTGGGAGACTCTCTTGGACTGTTTTCAGAACAATTTTCAAGAAATAGCTCCATTTTAGAGGTTTTGCAAAATTAATTTTTGTTCAAATATAAAAATTATATGAAAACAACGAAAATAGTTTCTGAGACTTTGTCTTTTCTCTTCTAGGAAACACATCAGCTATGACAAATGAGGAAAAAAAAGGTGAAAAAGGAAAAAAAAAAAGTGAAGAAGAAGAAGAAGAAAGGAAAATATCTGTATCTAAGAAAATTTGGCTCTTTAAGAAAAAGCATAAATTTATAACAAAGGAATCTACAGAATAAGAAACTTTGATCTCATAGAAGATTAACACAGTTTCCATGGTTTCAATTTCCATAAATTAAGCTAAGAAATTGCAATATTTGTGTCACTAACCACTATTAGATTAAGCTGTCGCCTGTTGGGAGCCAGGAAAGAGTGAGAAAGTTGGAGAAAGAGGGGAGGGAGAAAATTTAAAAACAGATGGACCCTGCTAGACTTGAATGGAGCCGCCTTAACACAAAGTTTGTTTCAGCACCATTGATAAACAGGGTCTAGATGTCTTTGGATTTGAATTCTTCTTCTTCTTCTTCTTTTTTTTTTTTTTTTGTTTTACATTTGTCATGTTTTCGGAAAAGAAATACACTGAAATGTTGAAAACTATATTGTTTTCATTTTATTTTCATTTGAAAGCAAGATTCATTCCTAAGGAAAACAATTTTTGTTCTTCTTTCTTTTTAATGAAAGTGAGACATAGATCCTAAATATTCTAAAAACAACTTTTGTTCCTTTTTCTTTTTAATAAAAGTGAGACATAGACTATATGTGTGAGTGTGTGTGTGTGTGTGTATATATATATTAGTAACATAGATTAGACACCTTTCCTGTAAAAGATATTAGGGTAAATCTCGTTGTTGGTATCCTAAATTTAAATTAAGTGTTATATTAATTTCTCAAGTTGAAAATATAGATCCATATATCTCAAGTTTAATATATGTTCTATATAGTTCTTTTAGCAAATTTTCAAATATTTTTTGGTCAATTAATAAGAGTAAATTTGTTATTATAAAATAATAAGTAAATTTGTTATTATAAAATAATAAGCAAAATTTATAAATTTTTAAAGATACAGTAAACTTTAGAGATGAATTTGGTTTATAAAAAGGCAGACTTTGTCAAGGATTTTTTAAAAAAGTAATAATTTTGAAATTTCACATAGTTAATTTAAGTTTTGATTCATAAAAAATAGAAATTAATTATATTTTTAGATTTACAAAATAAATCTAGGTTTTTTTTTGTCAACCTAAACACTAAAACAGTGGCAAATAACTGATAATCATTCAATTACTCGATAGTATAATATTTTTGAATTATAATTATATTTGTTAAATTATGAAATTATTTGCATCTTTAAAAAATTGTAAATATTGTCTTTTTTTAATGATAAATTTATTTTCATTAAGTGACTAAAAAATAGTCAAAAATTGATTAAAAGAACTATATAAAAATATTTATTAAAATTAAAGAATATAATATTATATTTTTAACTTAAATAATTAATAATAATACTTAATTTAAATTTACAAGACGAGACTTTAACTATTTTAAACTTAAATGGGCCATGTTGGCCATTTTATCAGAATTCAGGCCGTTATGGGCCCATTTTTACTTGTAAATAAGATACAATGGTACAGGTTATTATCTAGTAAAAAATTTGTACTTGCTTTTAAAAATAGAAAAACTGAAATTGTGAAAACAAAAAAAAAGAGAAAAGAAAAATTGAAATGGAGTGGCAATTTGTACCATCTTGTACACTTAGATTCATTTTATTCTGGTAACTTAATTACACATTAATTTTAGTTTGAATAATTTGCATTAGACACTCTTGGGGGTCTTTTTTTCTTTTTTAACAACTTTCAGTTTTGTCAGCTAACAATCTGCACTATGATCTAAGCCGTATATATACATATAATCTGCTTCAATTATTTTTTAGCCTGTTTAACTTTCAAATTTTTATTGTATTTAATTTAATTTTACCCAAAGATGTGTTACAACCCAAAACAGGGGCCACGACTGGTACCCAGGATGAGCAATCCATCCTTGGCAAGCCTCGGTGACGGAGTGAAGAAGATAGACTAAGTACATGGATTTTTCAAAAATTTCAACAGAATCTCTCTTAAAAATAGGACGTTTACCAATTTTCAACCTACGAATAACACAATTTATAATTTCTAATAGCGAATCCCAGGCAGTTAACACTAATAAAAGTAAGATCTAACAATTTCTGACATATACTACTACTCGCAACTACAGATTATCAACATGCATGCTTGCAAAAAAAGTAGCAACTAATTATAATGAAATCAATAATAATACAATAAGCATGCTAACTAAGGATGCAGGAAAACGGGATCCTGTCTGTAGACAAATGGAGCAACTCCACAAATTCACTAACCTTTAATTATCACATTGAAAACAATACAATAGTAACGAAATAAGAACGACCAAGCACATAATCAAACATGGGCTCACCAATCAAGAAATTTCTCTAACAGTAGACAAAACTGAACCTAGAGGGGAAAAGAATAAAAAGGTGAGCTAATGCTCAGTGAGTTATAATATGCAAATCCAAGTTTTAGAAACATGCAGAAAGCACTTTACTGTTGGCATGGAACAGCCTAGTTCAATGTGTGAATCAACATCAACAATCAAACCATTAAACATCCAAGCAACATATAAATCGCATACAAGCACACTGTTGTAAAATCACAATTACATCATGAAAACAAACAAGAGTCACTCATAAACACCTAACAAACAAAAACATGTCTAAATACTGTAGGCGGGAATCACGAGTGAGAATCACAGGTGGGAATCATGGGCACCAATCGGCCCGATTTCCTATCGTCCCCACTTACCCAAATCTCTACAGAGCTACATCATTCATGATCAATGCATACATTACCCATTTTCATTATCTTATAAATGTCTAATTTATAATTTTACACAATCATATATATACATTCATGACATTCATAACATAGTTATAACACACAAACAATGATAATCACATATACAATTTATGCATTTTTTTTAAAAAAAATAGAAATACATATTATTTCTCACCGCATAATCCCAACTGAAGGAAGCCAACTCTACAAAATTGCTAGGCGACGTTGAGGTTGATAATAACTAAGGCCTATGAACTCAACGGTGACTAACAGAGCAGATCAACTTCAATTTAGGCGACACAGAATGATGCAGTTTGGGTTGCGTGGCACAAAGCCGAGCTGCTTGACACAGATCGGTTTTTCTGACAGCTCAAGCGGCACTGCTTACTTTTAGTCGCCTCGAGTTGTCTTTGATTTTCCTGGGCAACTCAAGTAGAGCTGAGTGGCTTGGGGTCGAGGTGGGGCATAACGGTTCAGGTCCAGACAGAAAGGCGTAGAATGATTCAGGCTTCGGGCAACTAGCGTCGATGGGTTTTCTGAGCGGCTTTGGGTCACACAGTGACGAACAGCAAATTGATTCTGAGCAGCTTCAATAGGTGATACACAGTAACTCGAGTTGTTTAGCTTGGGCAATCAGGCGGTACAAAACAGTTTAGCTTCGAGAGGGGTGGCGCACAGCGACCTTGTTCCAAATGGCCTAATCGGCACTCGATTCAGGCGGCTCAAATAGCTCAGGTAGTGTTGGGTTCGAGCAGTGCCGGATCTGGATGGTCTTAGGTCCGAGTGGTGCTAGTTCGGGCGATGTAGGTTGGCGGCTCAGGCTGTTGGTTCAAGCGATAGAGGCCGGCGGCTCACGCAGCTTATTCGGGTGATGGAGGCCGGTGGCTCACATAGATGGGTTTCAAACAGGTTCGCGCATGTCGGGTTCAGACGGTCTTTAGCGGCTGGAGTCAAGCCATTAGTTCGAGTGGCTGGTTCAGGTTTCAGGCAATAGCACAAGCGACGCTGGGTTCGATCAACAGCGTAGGTGACGCTGGCTTCGAGCAATGGTGCAGGCGACACCGGCTTAGGGCGACAGTGGGTCCGGATGGATCTGGCTTGAACGGTGATTACAGAGGAGGAAAGAAAAAAAATTGAGGGGGGGTTCTAGCTTCCTTGCAAAGCTTCTTGCTTTTCTCTCTTTTTTTTTTTTTTTTGCTGGGTGTTACAAGATGCCTCACGTAAAAAAATACATAATCTTTATATATGTAACTAATTATCATTACCCTTTTTACAATTAATTTATTTTGTCACGATAGTTTACTGTTCCAATTAAACCACACTAACAACTTGGACAATCTTTTTCATTTGCCCATATCTTACGCATTTTATTCTTGATATGTAGATTGGGTTGTCCTACTGGCTCCCCGTTATTTTTATTATCCATATCTATGAATTAAATTTTAATTTGAATTCGATTCAAATTTTAAAATTTGAATTTAATTAATTATAAATATATGTAACATAAAATAAGTTAATCATATATAAAATTGGACAATTTGATTCATTAAAGATTCGAATTCAAATATTCAATAATATTTTTAATAAATTAATAATCTTACATATATATATCACATACATATATATAATATTAATAAATTCAAATTTATAGTGATTAAATTAGAAAAATCAGAAAATTTAAATATCATTATGGTTAATGGAAGTTAACAAACTTAAATATAAAAGAGTATTATTTTTTGTCAAATTTTAAATTATTTATCATATCATAGCCTAGCTTACTAATAAATATTATCCACTTTAGGTCAAAACTTTCACAATTTTAAAATGCATATACCAGGGGTTAAGACATGTATACTTACAAACCCAACA